CCCCCCCGGCCACATCTGGCCCTTTGGCTGTCCTTGTCCGGCCCTCGTGAGGTAATTGGAAACTAGAAATCAAATGTAAATAGATGTACACTATGTATGCAATACAACTGCATTGCTCTTATTTTGAAGGCGACTGCTTTCCCCCCCAATTTACATATGGGCATATGTGCAAGCTTACACACCTTCACAAGCCTATTGGTTCAGCTTTCCACCACAATTCCAGTCTCCCCTTGGGAAAAATACACACACACACACACCCCGCCGACCAAAGGCAAGGAAGGAAGTAGGCTTCATGGACTTTAGGCAAGCAAGTCGAAAAGAGCTCCCACCTCGGGAGCCATATCTTGATATTGTTTTGGATGAAGATTTTCAGAAGCAGGGCAGGGAAGCGTCACTCCTTTGCCCTGAGGGCAGGGACTTCCTGTCAGAAAGAGTTATTATAGTAGTCAGTCCCAGTTCATGGTGTTCCTGAAAACTGGATGGTTTGGCTTTCCTCTATCCCGGCATAGGGATGGTGTCCATCATCCCCAAGTAGGTTATGAGTCAAGGGGATGGAATGTAAGTCTGGAAGAAATCAGTCCAAAGGAACATACTCCAAACACAGCAAGAAGAGGCCTTAACCCAATAGTAGCCAATAACAGAAGATCTTGAGTACGTGTGCAGAGGCACAATCCGCATCAGGAAAACGCAAAATAGAATATTGGTGAATTAGGGAGTCCTTATTAGAGATCCGTTTCTTCCATCAGTGAATTCAGAGAACCTATGTCAGTCACCCTTTTCCCATCTCTCTGCTTATAATCATGTATTTATCGGAAGGCGAGAATAGAAATGGTACCCAAATGAATAGCGCATTGTCTTTCCCTCCCATTCCTTGCAGCCAGCCAGTCAATTGATGGATACTCTACTTTGCCCTTGTGAGCTTTTCAATTTATAACACACACCCCTCCCCACAACACCCAGCCATCTGCCTCCTTCCTTGTGAGATTAGACTTGGCACCGAGATCGAAACCTTACCCATTAATGAAAGGCCAAAGCAAGGGACGCTCTGCTGCAATATTTATTTATTTTCCTATTAGAATGATTTAAAACATTTTGGGTTTTTTTTCCTCTAGTCTGCAGAAGAGCTTGCGAAGCTCCTCCTTCTGCCTTAACTGTTGGTGTAATAAACTTTACAAACCACGCTGCACGTATTTAGATGTTCCTTGCCGTGGATTACAAAATTAAAAAAATGTAAATGGAAGCTGTTCTTGCTTGAAGCTGTAGCCCTTTTCTTTTTCTTCCGTTTTTGAGCTTCTGTAAAGCATCTGGAGGAGCAATGCTGGAAATGGAACTTGGGTCTAGAAGAGGGATTGTGGACCCAATATAGTACCCAATTTAAGGGTGTGTGTATGTGTGTGTGTGTGTGTGTGCATGCATGCATGTGTGTGTTTTACAGCCTTAACTCTGAAATGTACTCTGTAACTTTGAAGTGACAATAACAGCCCCAAAGAGTCTTGTGGCACCTGTCAAGTTAATTGAGTGGGTATTATTATTTACATTTTTAAATACATTTATATAATATACATGGCATAAATTTGTGTTGTTTATTATCCAAGTGCTTTTCCTGAGGATCTTACCATCTAACATTTGATCTGGGAGATCAAGACAGGAAGGAAAGTTGAAAAGGAATGGTAAATTAGGAAGCAGCCGACAATTGTTTCATTGTCCTTGTCAAGAGTTAGCTGTCAGCTGAAATCTCATAGAGGGCAGGAGCCAAAAGCCTTGAATAAAACATGTTTTTGGTTATGCAGTACAGCTGTGAAATTTACAGTTATAAATCTCTTTTTGCTCATTCCTGCCCATTCTCTTTCTTTTGCACTTGAACAGTTATTAAATTAACATAAAAAAAATAAAAGATAAATTCAAAGGAATGATTTCACGGGAGAAAGGCAGCCTCACAGACATATTCTAGGAGATATTTGCAAATGCAGGTAGCCTTTGACCAATGACCATAACTGAGCCCGCAATTATGGTCATGTCATGCAAGTCATTAAGTAGGTCGTCACATGATTGCTTGATTTTAGGACCCTTTTTTTGCAGTGGTTGTTAAGCAAACCCATTTTATTTTGCAGTGGGTGTTTTTGGCTGGAAACTGGAAGTAAGTGTCTGTTTCGGGGAGGGGAGGAATGTCATAAATCATGGTGACATGTCTCTGGGACATTACAGGTGACTGTAAATGCAGGCTGAATGCCCAAAATTCAGTCACATGACCAGGGGGAGGGGCAGACATTGGAACTTCAAGTCTGAGTCATAAGTATTGTTTTCAGGCCTGTCATAACTTTGAATGACAGAACTACATTGGCCAAGTAGTTGGGTCATTAGGTGAGGACCACCTGTATTCTGGGACACAGTAAGAGATAATATCTCTGGAAGTAGTAGAGTGATTTGTGACTGTGTGAGTGGTGCAGCCAGAGCAACAAAGATTGTAGGACAGGGCTGTCTCAGTATGGAAGGTTTGGAGAGAAAATAGGGGGAAGAGGGCTTTAAAATGATGGGGAAATTATGCTGAATCTTGAAAGAAGAAAGGGAGATAGAATAGAATTAGAGTAGAGTAGAAAATGTAGAGTGGAGCTGGAAGCGACCTTGGAGGTCTTCTAGTCCAGCCCCCTGCTTAAGCAGGAGAACCTATATACTATTTCAGATGCCTGTCTAGTCTCTTCTTAAAAACATCCGGTGATGGAGCGCCCACAATTTCTGGAGGCAAGCTGTTCCACTGGTTAATTGTCCTCACTGTTAGAAAGTTTCTCCTTCATTCCAGGTTGCTTCTCTCCTTGATGAGTTTCCGTCCATTGCTTCTTGTCTTACATTCTGGTGCTTTGGAAAATGAGTTGACCCCCTCCTCTTTGTGGCAGCCCCTCAAATACCGGAATACTGCTATCATGTCGCCCCTAATTCTTCTTTTCTTTAGACTAGCCAAACACAAATCCTGCAGCCGTTCGTCATATGTTTTAGAAGAGGCATATAACTTTGCTATCAGAACGGAAGGGTGGAAGAGGAGAACCAAATAAAGTTGAGTGAGAGATCAGTGCACAAACCAGAGATTTGGCCAAGCAGGTCACAACCAGGTTCTTTAGCAATGTGTCCTTAAGTTCTCTTCTTCCAGTGGGGAAACTGAGGCTGAAAGACAAGAGCTTCCTTGTTATGTTCTTTGCTGACAGGCTTTCATCTCCTTCTCTCTTGTTAGGAGAAGCCGCCCTCAATGCTGCCTGCCCTAACTGCTGTTCCCCTGCCCAGCCACGAGCTCAGAGATTCACCCCCTCACCTCCAAAGCTTGGCTGAGAAGGAGGAAGTGCCATCGGTGACATCTCCCGCATCTTCATCGGAGGGTAAATACGGTTGGAGAGGGAAGGAAAGAGACAAAGGGCTGAACTGAGCTGCTACTATAAGAGAATATGGTGGGTTCAAAGCCTTAGCCGGCGATTGCGGTTTGTAAAACCTGGATTAGTTTTTAAGATGCTGCCACCCCCCTCGCTTAAAATGCCATCCTCTTATTCCATTTTACTTTTCTTGATTCCCAGGTTCTAACAATCCAGGGCTTTTGGGCAGCCAGACACAGCCAGCGTGGAGTGGGGGTAGCAGTACTCGAAACCAGGATCTGCAGCTCCCAAAGCGCAGGCCTACCGCAGGTAAATCTGAGGCTGCGCTTCTGTTATCGCCTCTCAGTCATTTTCACTCGCTCTTTGTTTCGGTAGAGAAACATTAAAAGTGTGAGAAGGATTCATGGCTTCCGACGACATGAATGGCAGCCTCCAGAGAGGACAGCCTTTGTTTTCTTGTGAAATTGTCTCCTTACTTAACGATATTTCTTCTGCATTTGTACAATGCACTCAAAAAGTTCTTAGGAAGTGATGTCCTCTTGTGTCCTTGCAGCCCTGCTGAGGAACTTGCGTACATCACGTCTGGCAGTTTTTCTCACCAAAAAGCCCTGTTTATCTTTATAGTAGTCTATCGATCATTTATTTTATTTAGAAAATGTATATGGCTGTCCCACTCACTCATAGTGACTTTGGGTTGCTTAGGAGATCGAACCCCCACCACCCATGGCAAAAGCAATTAAACCAACTACTTGGGAGGGGGCTCCATATTACTCTGGAGTCCCCAGGTCCTTTGGCAAAAATCATGTCTTCGGGACCTTTTGAAAGAGTGTAAAGGGGGGGCAGTCTGCCCTTCCTTGGTCCTGGCAGACGGAAGGGACCCATAACATACCCAATTCTCTGCTCTAGTGGGTCAGGTAGACATGTCTGGGAAAAGACAGTCCTTCAAATAACCAGTTGACTCCAGGCCATGTAGGGCTTTAATGGTGACAACCAGCACCTTGAATTGGACCCGGAAACAAATTATAAGCTATACTTTCACATCCTGGGTTGGTATTTTAAGAACTCCAGGCAAGCTAATTTGCAAAATATTTCAAGTTTTTTAACTTGAAGAGAAACCACCTTTTGTTCATACCTTAAAGAAGGGGAAAACCAAGGCTGGGAAAACTGCTGTCTGGGCTCTCAGGCCAGTTCACATCTGTGATAGCGGTAGAAACACAAGCCTAGGATCAGCTCAACTCCAAGTCCATCCGTGGCTCCCTTAATCTGCAGGCATTACGGAGGCTCCTACAGAGTTCATTTGAAGAAAACGCTCTCCTACTTCTGTACTTTCTCTCTATTCCAGGGAAACGGTACCAGTGTTCAGGGGACGGCTGCCGGCTGGCCTGCCGCAGCATGAAGGAACTTCTTAACCACATGCAGGTCCACTATCGGCCCACGGAGTCCCTTGAGGGTAAGGCTGGCTTTTCAAACCTGTTGGGGGTGGGGGTGTCGTTGGATAGTACAGGTCAGAAGAAGAGGAAGAGTAGGGGGACCATGAAAAATTGTGCTTCCTCCTTTCCTCTTTCTTGAATTTTTCAGGATAGGAGCCTAAGGGCTTGCCCTTTCATTCTTTTATATCAGTCTATTTGTGTGTAACTAAGCCAGGGGTACAGAAGCCTTCAGAGGTTCTTTTCTCTCTCTCTCTCTCTCTCTCTCTCTCTCTCTCTCTCTCTCTCTCTCTCTGTGCGTGCGTGTATGTATGTATGTATGTATGTATGTATGGTATTCAGCTTTGTTCGGGTATTTTCCCACGTCATAGTTGTGCTTTTAAAGTTGTAGCAATGTTTCGGCAGAATCTCATCTGCCATCATCAGGCTTCTGTATAGTGTTCATCTGTGAGTCAGACTTTCACAGCCGTTTCTGTTTTAAATTTGATGCTAACCTACTGCTGTGCCAGAATGGTTTTTTCTGCATCCTGATTGGTTGGGAGTCTTGGTCTGTGTTTATTGGTCTTGGAGTTTGCTGTGTTCTGCTTGATTGGTGTTTCTAATATCTTCTGTCTGTTTTGTGGCTTTGTCTTGATTGGCTGGCAACATTGTGTTCCTGTATTGGAGGCTTTTAGTGCGGCTTGGCTCCGAGTAAACGGACGGTTATCATTTATTAGGAAGCTAGGTTTCAACTGGGTGCCTGGTTGGGGTGTGTTTGAGCTGGAGGTATCAGGGGGGGTCTGTTTGTGCCCAGGTGTTTGCCTGGCTTGTGGCGTGGAGATTTTTTGTTTGTGAGTGCAGGCTTCCAAATAATTGACAGTCTGGTGGAGTCATCTCTTCTATTCATGCTTTCAGGTCTTTTTTCAATCTGTATGGCTTCTCTGATAATTCTGTGGCTGGGGTTTTCTATAGTGGCTAGGGTTTTGGTGCCATTGAAGTCGATGCTATGACCTGTGGCTTTCATGTGTTGGACTAGTGAGGAAGTGTGTTCCAGCTTTTTGACTGCATTTTTGTGTTCATTCAGGCGGGTACTTATTCTTCTATTGGTCTGTCCAATGTATGTGGCAGGGCATGATGCACAGGGGACTTCGTATATGCCTTGGTTTTCCAGGTCAATTTTATCTTTGGGGTTTCTTAGGATGGCTGCTATTTTTCTGTCTGTTTTGAAGGCAGTCTTGATGTGATGCCTGTGTAGTATCTTACTGATTTTGTCTGTAGTGCCTCTTACGTAGGGCAGGACAGCTGTTCCATGGGTCTGTTCATCTTCTGGGTCTCCATTATGTCTCAGTGTGTTTTTGTGGATCAAGCCGGTGATTTTGCTTTTGTGGAAGCCGTTGGCTGTCAGTACTTTAGTCAGGGTGCATAGTTCAGTCTTTATGTGTGTCTTGTCTGCCAGGCGTTTGGTTCTGATGATGGCAGATGAGATTCTGCCGAAACATTGCTACAACTTAAAAAGCACAACTATAATGACGTGGGAAAATACCTGAACAAAGCTGAATACCATACATATAAATACGCGCGAAAACTTAAGAAATATATATATATATATTACAGAAATATATATATTACAGCTACAGAGAACTCTCTTCTATTGGAACATTTAATAAATCAACAAATAAATATATATATCGGGTTTTTTTTTAGCATGGTCCTTGAGTGTCAGCAGAGATTTCATCTTTGGCTGGGAAGAAAGGGAGGAGAAACTGTGATTTTCCTCTTGCAGAGAAAATGACAGTATCTTCCATCTCTGTTCTTCCCAGCAAAGGAGGGAAGACTGCTGTGAAGGAAGGCAAAGGGTTTGTAGGATTTGTCTGCTTCATTTGTGCCCCCTGAACGGTGTGATGTGTAGAATTTCATCAACTCCTTTGACCGGCAGTTTCCCCCACTGTTCTGTTTCCCATTTCATAACCCTATTCACTGATTTTTGGTAACTGAAATTGTTTAGAACTCAGATGTCTGCATGCAAAACCTGTGCTTTGCTACCGAGTGAAGCTCTTTATATAAACACGGCCACAGCTTCTTAATGATAGCTATAGTTTGTGTGTGTGGTTTTACAAAGGGCATATATTAAAAAAATGCAGCATCACAGGGGTTCTGTTTTCAAAAGTAGCCAATCAGATACTCCTCAGAGTTCAAGAGTGCCACAAAAACTCTGTGCTACTGCATATCCCCCCCATATCCATTCTGTGATTGAACAGACGCTTGATATAATCAAAAGGGTTCATAAGGTAATATTTCTCCTCCAATCCTACCTGAAAGACAGTCCACCCTTCATCTGATGATAAAATGTTCCGCAACACATTTATTTATAAAGTCGCACAAGGAATGACTTCAATGGACAAATCCACCATGTTTTTAAAAATAGCCACCCTCAAGTTGAACTCTACTTCTGGCGACCATATGTCCCTGTCCTGTTGCCCTTGTGGCAAAACTTTTTTTCTGAGATTTCCTGATGGCCGCCTGTTTAAGAATTAATTAAGCCTGAGATCCTGTTCACTGTTGAAAATCAGCCAAGGACAGACAGGTGCTGCCACCTGCTGGATCATCACATTTATAAGCTGTTTTGGAATTCTCCTTCCGCAAACTGAGGCCTGGGCAAGAACTTGAGACGTGTAATGGCAGGGGGGGAATAAAATTAGGAAGAAGAGCCCCAGTCTAGATGAGGGATTAAGAAGTGAAATCTGAATTTTAAAAAGGGGTGGTGTATATGAAGGGCTGCCACAAATTAGAGGGCGGGAGGGTCAACCTATTTTCCAATGCACCAAAAGGCAATAAGAAACAATGGATGGAAACTAATCAAGGAGAGAAGCAACCAGGAATTAAGGAGAAACTTCCTAACAGTGAGGACAGTTAACCAGTGGAACAGCTTGCCTTCAAAAGTGGTGGGTTCTCCATCACTGGAGGCCTTTAAGAAGAGACTGGATAGCCACTTGTCTCAAATTGTATAGGGTCTGCTGCTGTCCCAGAAGGGATCTTCCCTAGTTTTTGAGAGACTTAAAAGTAAGGGAGGAGAGGGGTAGTTTTAGATTTGCAAGATTCTGTTACTATAACTTTGTCCTAAAGGTTACAAGTGTTGGTATTTGTGGCTGGTGATTCTTGTCTAGGCTATCTCAAAACGCTGACAAATAGGTCTCCTCTAATTAAAGCTTTGGCTGTTCACCCAGGTCTTTGCAAGCACGACTGAAGCTTCCTTTTCTTCTTTTCCTTTCTTGCCATGTGGGTTACTTAATCTTTACCATCTTTGCTCTTTTCTGTTTTATATTCTTGTTTTAAACAGGTCTTTTTTTTTTTTTTACTTTTTTTTTTACATTTTGTAAATTGTCCAGAGCTGTTAGGAACCAGGTGGCAAAAACATTTAATAAATGTGGAGTTTTTGGTGCTTTCTGAGCTTGGTTGTTTGCTTGCAGACATTTCATTACCCAACTAGGTAACATCATCAGTGCAAGGGAATGTTGGATTTGCCTTGCAGGGAAAATTTAGTTTGTCTAAGTAGGGAGAAAACCCCACACTCCCTTGTACTTGATGATTTTACCCACCTGGGTAATGAATGTCTACACAAGCAAACAACCAAGCTCAGAAAACATCAAGGACTCTATAGTTCCGGGATCTCCAACCTTGGCAACTTTCAGACTTGTGGACTTCAACTCCCAGAGTTCCTCAGCAAAGCTGGCTGAGGAACTCTGGGAGTTGAAGTCCACAAGTTTGAAAGTTGCCAAGGTTGGAGACCCCTGCTCTAGTTCAAGCTGAGCTACAGCTACAGAGAACTCTCTTCTATTGGAACATTTAATAAATCAACAAATAAAGCTGCAGATGCACTGAACTGCTGAGTTTCTCTTAGGAAAGACATTCCGCTGTTCCACTTCGGGTTGCTTGGAATCATTCCCCAACATGCAAGACCTGATGGGCCACATGAAAGTGCATTACAAGCCCAACCGCTACTTCAAGTAAGACCCTGCTTCGTTTTACCATGATTAAACATGATTCTCTGGAAAGAGATACAGAGTGCTAATGAAAACCAGGTCAACATTAAATAGATCTCTCTCCAATTAGCTCTTCTCTTTCTCGTGTGTTTGAATCCCCAGTGAAATATAAAACTTGGCATCTGAATCTGGGGCAGGTCACTGTCAGCTTAATCTGAAAATAAGGAGTAGAAATTGTTTTGGAGTTCACCTAGGCTGGGGAATTCTGGGAATTAAAGTCCACACATCTTAAAAGTTGCCAAGGTTGAGAATCTAGGCCAGCCCCTGCACAATGTCACCATTGCATCCCTGTCAGATTGCCATCCTGCACCTGTTTATAAATACCCCACCAAAGGGAGAGTCCAAATATCTTACCCATCTCCCTCATAGAGGAGCTTTTGAATTTATTGAGATAACATCCATCACTGCCTGGACCACTGCCTATGTACCAGCTGTAGATTCTATGCTTATATCCTGGTATCACACAATGTACCAAGCATTTGATTTACAAACAGTAGTGAGCGGGTTTGCATCCTGATTGAGGACATTGTGCAAATCTAGCCTATAGTGATATAGCTAATAGCCTGGAACTAGCTGAAGCATACCTAAACTCATCAGTGAATCTGAACAAGTTTACCAATTATTTCAGGTGTGTTGTTCTTTATTTCTAAGTAACGCAAACAGATTTAGTGATAATTCATAGCCTAGGATAGTGTGTATAAGAGCTACTTTAGGTTTACGAGACTCTTATGTCTTCAGTGAAAAGCTCTTTCTTTTCAGATCCCTATTCTTTCCCTTACGTCCACAATTTTTCAAATCCCCTTCCCGTTTTCACTTATGCTCAGGACAGCACCGTTTCTGAGAGCCAATTCAGTCTAGTATTTAGGTACTAGCTAGAAAGCAGGAGACCGTGAGTTCGAGTCCCACTTTAGCCATGAAAGCCACCTGGGTGACTTTGGGCCACTTTCTCTTAGTCCAACCCAACTCAGGGTTCTTGTTGTGGGTAAAATAGGAGGAGGAAAGTATGGTGGATATATTCACCCCCTTGAGTGATTAATAAAAATTATAAAGGTGGGATAGAAAGAAAGTGATTCACCAGTTCCCACCAAAATTGGCCATTCCTTGTTTTCTGGATATCTCCTCATAGTAAGCAAATGTTGGGAATGAGAATGCCGTCGTTGATAAGCCTGTTGGAAACTCAGCGCTGAATGCTTTGTTTAGCCTGCTCTGTTTTCATTCCCCCCTCCCCCCCCCAGGTGTGAGAACTGCATGTCACGTTTCCGAACACATCGCTCCCTTTTCAAGCACTTGCACAGCTGTTCTGATGCCAACACCGCCGCTTCCCCAGCCCTAACTTCGGAGAAACCCATCTTTCCACCTAGCTCTGGCCTGGAAAAAGAGCCCCCGGGGAAATTGCTGGAGGAGCTTCCAAAACTCCAGAGCTTCATACAGCACTTCAAAAAAGAAGCTCTTCTCCCTGGCACAATGGACACTCCTCTGGCCCCTGACTCGCTTCCGGCTGGACTCCCTGGCCCCTTAGAATCTGGGCCATTGCCAACATCTACGTATCCTCTGCTGGAGCAATCCCTGTTTGGACCACCCTCCCTGACAAAATTCTCTGGGCCACCTCACCCTTCAGTTTCAGGGTCCTTCTTGCCCTATATGCACCCCACGTCCTATGCTTTACCTCAAGCTGCAGTGCAGAACCGGCTCAGGCCTTTTTTGCCAGCAGGCCAAGGCCTCCCTGTCTCCAATGCTGTGTGGAAGAAAAGCCAAGGTGAGCAGCTACCCTATTCCATTTTTCAATATAGTGTATGATTCCACCATTCCTGCTCTAAACTTAGTCTGCATCTCAGGCTGGTGTTGACCCCTTTTGGAGTTGTACATTATTGTCCAGCATTTTACTATGTTACTTTGTGTGTGTGTGTGGGCAAGAGATGCCACTGTATGCTTGAGACCATATTTAACTCTTGAATTTAACATGGAGGTATACGGGTGTAGGACTGAACCTTCTGGCATTTCCTTTTATATCTTTCATCTGAGTAGAAACTATTAATGTATAATTCTTCATTGTGGTGGAGATAGGACTGGGTGATCTGTCTCTGCTGCTGATTGGACTGAGTCTGTCAAAACTCTTAGGACAGACACTCCTTCTGTTGCTAGGGTCCTCCCAGAAATTGACTCGACTGATGGACTGATGGCTAGCTGGATGGACGTGTTAATTTCTTTTCCTAACAAATTCAAACAATCTTTAAAAATTGATTCGGAAAACAGGAATAAAATCACCAATCCTGAATACTATCGCAAAGCCAGAACCAGTCTACCACTTTGACAGCTGTCAAACGGCAGCCGCGACCGGGGCTTCGGCCCAGGACGTCGGATCGGCTGAGGGCCGATCTAAAAAGTACTGAGGTAGTGGTTGCAGGAGGTGTGTTGAAACACCATCCACACCACTTCCCCGCACTTTGGCTTGGTGAGGCTCTCAGCGGCTTCAAATGGCCGTTGCAGACGCCGAAATTAACCGCGGTAGCATTTAAAGGGGCAGAAGACTGCAGCAAAGACCAGCAGAGCTACAGGCAGGTAGGGAGAGTAGATTTAGGTAGGAAACTGACAAAAAGGTGCAGCGTAATTGGTGGTAACTCTGGAATGTCGTCGTCGGAGTTAAAAATGGCTGAATCGCAAAATGCTATCTGCGCTGTCAGGAGAGTGGAGGAGACGCCTCGCAGGCTCTCATGCTCTCTAAGCCCAGCAGCCCCAGAGCAGACGGCTTCCTTTCACAGCCCCAAGCCAAAGGACAAGGCTGCAGGAACCCGAAAGGGCTCCAAGGCAGCAGAGAGGGACGAGCGCCGCAGACACAAGGCGCTGGATAAGTTATGGGCTTGAGGGAAAGAGCAAAATGATGAAGAAATGGTGCCCAGTATAATTTCCCGCCCAAATGAGGAACGACCCGTTTTTGAGAGGAGAGAGGCAACTGCAAACTGACAGGACTGCAGTAGCAGAAGCAGCCATAGGGGGAGCTGAAGAGCAGCAGGGATCTATTGAGGCTTCCGAGATTAGAAATTTTTTTCTGTGTCTGCCCAGCAACTGACAGTCACTGATCAGAGACACAGAATGGCTCCAGAGGCGACATTTACTCCTATGTCAGCTGGGATTAGACCAGTTGTGAGTTCCAAGTTAATATGCAGGCTATGCTAAGTGAGGCAAGGGGCGTCAGCTGTCTTGAGACAGACCAGAGGCTCACTCACCCTCAGAGATTCCAGTTTCTTCATCCAGGTATAGTAGGAGACACAGGTGTCATAATGGTGATGATCCTTCCCTGCATACAGAATCAGGTGTATGTATTCCTGCTGAAAGCTCCCACTCTTATCACATCTGACAGCGGCCAGATGATGGACAGGAACTATTCGGATGATGAAGGCCTCAGCGATGCTGACCAAGGCCTGTTCCAACCTGCCATCTTTAGGTCTCTCCTCTTTAAGACCAAAAAGGCCACGGGGTGAGGCTTGGTCTCTGAACCACAGGAGCCTGCAAACCCCTCTGAGGACCCCAAGGACCGACTGTTTTCAAAGAAAACAGTCACAGCAGATGTCATCCCTGCGCCAAAGATGTTCACCAGAGTCATCCAAAGGCAGTGGTCATCCCTCGGGTCCAATCCAAGCCCTTCCACCCTGGACAAGAAATTGTTTAATGTAGGAGGCGATCTCTCCAAGGCCCTGGAAGTGCCCGATGTTGACACCCCAGTTGCAGCCCTGCAAGCCAACACAGACATCTCTGGGGAGCCTGAGGACTCGCTGAAGGCCGAGGACAAGAAGGCTGAGCAAACGTTGCAAAGAACACACCTGTCAACAGCATGGGCAGTGAAGGCTTCCACAGCCGCCATCTTTCTTTAACAGGGCCTCTCTCATCTGGCTTCAGGAGCTGCAAAAGAGAATTCCACTGGATGATGTCAGATCGCGCCAACATGTGAAAAAACTACTGGCACCACTGGAATTTTCAGCTGATGTTACACTCAGTGCTACCAGATTTGCATCTATGGCAATAGGGGGAACGGTGACCTCTCGTCGCCTGCTCTGGCTAAAGCAATGGCAGGTTGATATGAGGCACAAGTGGAGGTTGGCCACTGCCCCCTTTAAAGGGGATAAATTATTTGGAGAGACTCTGGACAAGGTCCTGGTGGGCTCCAAGGACAAAGGGAAGGTCTTGCCATCCAGGTCCAGAAAGAGTGAATTTAGATCAATACCCTATGTCAGATGTTCCTATTATACGACCCCTGAAGCAGGAGCGGGATTCCCCAAACCCCAGAGGCCTTTCACCCCCAGGCAGGAACAAAACCAGGACAGGACAGGTAGAAATTGTCCTTTTAACAATTAGTGGCCCTTTCGAAGGGTTGGGGGTCCCTTCTGACGCCCCAGATAAAATGGATGTCAATCCTCCCATTGGGGGACGTCTGGCCTTGTTTGCCAGACATTGGGAGGAAATAACCACTGACACCTGGGTCCTGGGAGACAGTCCACTCAGGACTGTCTATAGAATTCCTCTCTATGCCCCCAAGGTTTTTTATTGTTTGTAATCCCCAAAGCCTCCGGGGGATGGAGGGCAATTCTGGATTTGAAGCATCTTAACCGCTGGGTGAAATACAGGTGGTTCAAGATGCATTCACTCCAGTCCATCCTGGAGGGAATTAGGGAGGGGACTTCCTTACCTCCATTGATTTAACAGAGGCCTATCTCCATGTCCCTATTATCCCTGCACATCAACAATTCCTCAGGTTCTGCTACAATGGGAGGCACTACCAATACAGGGCCTTGCCCTTTGGACTTTCCTCAGCCCCCAGGTCATTCACTAAGCTGCTGGCAGCTCTGGCAGCCCACCTTAGGGCTATCCCAGTTAGAGTCCAGTGTTATCTTGATGACATCCCGGTCCAGTCATCTTCCCCATCTAGGGCAGTAGAGGATGTAGAGCTCGCCATTCAGGTGCTCCAAGCGCATGGCTTCTCTGTCAACGAGGCCAAAAGCCACTTCACTCCCACCAATACCTTACTCCATCTGGGAGCTGTAATACCTTTTCCTGCACGGTGTCCTTATCCCAAGAACATCAGGAGAGTATCAGGGAGTTAATTGGACAAGTAAAATCTAAACCTAGAGTGTCCCTGGCTACGCTTTCTAAGCTCCTGGGGAAAATGATATCATGCATTAATATAGTGTCCTGGGCTAGATTGCATGCCAGCTCACTCCAATGGTTTCTTCTACCTTATCAGAAAACAGGTAGGAGTTGTTCCCTCTTACAGGTCAGATTAACTCTGTTGGTCCTTAAGTCTTTACGATGGTGGTCATCTGAGGCACTTTCCATGGGACTCCTATTCAAGGAACCGGACAGGTTAGTGCTGACCACAGTTGCCAGCCTTCATGGCTGGGGTGCCCATATTCAGTCCAGGATGCTCCAGGGACAATGGTCCCAGGCAGATTTGGGCCATAATATTAATTGGCTAGAGCTTCGAGCAGTCCATTTGGCCCTGAGACAATTAGAGGACGTTGTGTCAGATAAGGACATCCTGATCTTGACTGACAATGTGTCAACCAAGGCACACAGTAACCACCAAGGGGGACTCATTCAGGGCCTTTGATGCTAGAGGCAGAACAGCTCTGTTTATGGGCAGAGAGACACCAGGTATCACTCAGAGCTGAGCACATTGCAGGCGTGGCCAATGTTGAGGCTGACCGGCTTAGCAGAGCCACCATTGACCATGCAGAGTGGCGTTTGCACCCCGATTTGTTTCAGGAGCTGTCGGAGCGCTTTGGATACGCAGAAGTGGATCTCTTCGCTTCCCAGGACAGCACGCAATTCCCGAGATTCTATTCCAGGTTTGCAGTTCTGGGGGCGGAGGGAACGAACGCCTTACGCAGCCATTGGCCAAGGGAGCTCCTGTATGCATTCCCTCCCCTGCCCCTGATCCTGAGCATCATCCAGAAAATGTTGGCGGAAAGAGCAGAACTTATCCTTGTAGCCCCTCATTGGCCCAGGAGGCCATGGTTTGCAGACTTAGTAAACCTTTCCATTTCCAGACCTTGGAAGATACCGGAGGACAGAGTGTTGCTCAGCCAGGGGCCAATCTTGCATCCAGAGCCCCAGTGGCTTCACTTGGCTGTCTGGAGATTGAGCGGGGATCTCTGATCCGGGACAATTATTCCTCCAGAGTAATAAGAACTATCCAGGCCTCCAGGAGACCCTCCACCAACCGCATCTATGATGCAACCTGGAAGGCTTTCAGCGAATGGTGTTGTAAGTATGACATTGTCCCTTCTGGGGCCTCGATTGCCCAGGTACTGGACTTCCTCCAAGAGGGCCTGGACAAGGGACTTTCACCTAACACTCTGCGGAGGCAGGTTGCAGCCTTGTCCTCTGTTCTATCCTTGGGGGGAGTGAAACCTTTGTCTAGACATCCCACGGTCTGCAGGTTTCTGAAGGGTGCTACATACCTGAGGCCTCCAGTGGTTCATCGATATCCGACGTGGGACCTCTCTAAAGTACTGCAGTCACTGACTGAGGCCCCATTTGAGCCACTGAGGTCAATTCCCTTGCAGTTTTTGTCTTGTAAGGTAGCTTTTCTGGTAGCAATCACCTCTGCCAGAAGGATTTCAGACCTGGCAGCCTTGTCTTTCAGGAAAGACCTTTGTGTGTTTCATACCAATCGAGTGGTGTTAAGACTAGACCCTTCATTCATGCCAAAGATGAACTCGTGGTTCCACAGAGCACAGGAACTAATTTTACCTGACTTTTGTCCGCATCCTGTGCACACGTTAAAAAGAAGATGGCATACCCTGGACATTTGGAGGGCTTTGAGGATTTACATTAAGAGAACATCGTCCTTCAGGGGGTCTGAATCCCTTTTTATTTCCTTTCAACCTTCCACCATGGGCTGCAAGGTGACTCCAACGACTGTGGGGAGATGGACAAGCCTACCAAACACAGGGACTTGCAGTTCCTCCAAGGATAACAGCGCACTCAACAAGAAGCGTGGCAATATCGATGGGCGTGGGCCACCCAGGCCTCTCTGGAGGAGGTTTGCAGGACGGCTACCTGGGCCTCCCCTTCTCCGTCCATCAGACACTATAAGCTGGACTCATTTGCTTCTGCTGAGGCAGCTTTTGGACGGAGGGTTCTGCAAAAGGTCCATTCTGTATAAGGGACTCGGACCGCACTAGGCCCACCTGTAGGACAGCCTGCTTTGGTATGTCCCAATCCTGAATGCTATCTCCACCCCAATGGAGAAGGGTCGTTGGTTCTAACCTGATACGACCTTTCTCTTTGGGTCGAGATAGCATTCAGTCCCACCCTTTTGTGGTGCGTTCCGAGTGTAATGGTATATGCTATACTTATAGGAGAACACGTCAGTCTGTCACTATTCCTTTGCCAATTTCTGGGAGGTCCCTAGCAACAGAAGGAGTGTCTGTCCTAAGAGTTTTAACAGACTCAGTCCAATCAGCAGCGGAGACGGATCGCCCAGTCCTGAATGCTATCTCCACCCAAAGAGAAAGATCTATCAGGTTAGAACCAACGACCCTTTTAAAAGCCAGCTATGTATTCATTTAATTGTCATGCTAATCCGGCCCTCAGTTAACCAGTTTAGAATATAATGGAATACTCTGTCAGACATAGCACTGAAATCAAACTCTTATTACACCCCCAATATTCCCATAATTTACTAAAGAAAATTATTTTTTACACATCCATGTTGGTCTAACAGTCTCTACGTTCTTTCAAAAGTACTTCCAGATCGTTTATGATCTGCTCTAGAATCTTACCAGCTATCAGGAGCTGTAATTTTTTGGAATTTTCTTCTTGTTCTTTGTTTTCGTCTTATCCAGTTGTTCTTTACAATATCTCAAAAGAGAGCACATGCACACAATTCATCTAAGCCACCGGAGTTCCTTTAGTTATCTTTTCACAAGAGTAGTTCGATCTGCAAAATGGCTTGGGAATCAGGAAACTGACCAGTTGACTGGATTTTCAGCTGCTTCTTTCCATTGCAGGACACTCCTCCAACAGCCGCATTGTATGGGAACACACCCGAGGTCGTTATAATTGCTTACAGTGCCCATATTCCACAGCCTCTCGGGAGGAGATGACCCAGCACACTGAAGACCATCGTAAAAATCCCTCTCCAACCAGTCGCTTGGACGGGGAAATGGGTGAGTGTTAACAGTCACGGGGAATCTTGGTAATGCAATTTTGGAAAGAGGAAAGAAAAACTCACCTGAGAGACCTCTTGTTTCCTTCTTGTTATGGAAGAACTTCTCGGTCTTCTGCTGTCTTTCCCTCATTAATGCAACAGTTCCTCCATTTGATCTCCAGATACAGGAAGGAGTGTTAAAATCCTGAAAATAATACTGGGGTCCCCCCCCCCCTCAGCTTTGACATGCAAATGTATCGGGTTACAAATATGTAATAATTCCTCCAACTATTTTAATGGCTTCCATTTTGTAAAAGGCTTTCCGGAGACCTTCAAAATGACTAAACTTATTTTAAATCCGTGAGGGGTAGGGAGAGCAGGCTGTTACCTGACATTTTAACCCAACGGGTTTTCACCTTAATCCTGAAAGAAATACACCCTTCTTTGTAAGTCCCTCCATTTTGATTCTTTGTAGTTCAACTATATTACTGGTACTTTAAACTGACTTTTCCCCCCCTCTTTTTTTTTTCTCCCCCAGATTTTGGTGTTCCTCTTCCTGCATTCCACCCGAAGTTGACACCAGAAGTGGAGAACTCTCTCTTTTCCCCGCTGTGAAGTTTCCATTGGGCTGATTAAGCTGACTTTATTATTTCCCCCCGAAAAACAGCATCTGTGTGGAGATATTTTTTTTTTAATGTGTGCATTCCCCCCCACAAAGGAGGCGTCTGGGGACAGCCGTGTGTCGAATTTAGGCCAGAATTCATCTGCATTCTAGCTTGTCCAGAATGAGCAAGAGCATAGATGCATTCAGCGTACTCCTGTTTGTTTCTAGTTATTCACTTTGGCAGAAAAAGCCAAACATCTTTACCCCGCCAGTCTGTTTTGTTGAGCATTGCATCTGAATCTAGTCCTTGGCTTATTTCTCAAAATAACCAGCTACTGATATAAGCCAGTGTCCCATTCTTGGCTTAAATCATGTCTGTCAGTTGAAGAATGTCAGGGATTCTGACTACACCGTTCACTTTTCCATTCTTTATAAACCAGGTTTGAAAGACTTTTGTCTTATGTGTGCTCAGTTCCCCTCCCACCTACTTCCTCCCAATGCCTCCTTTCAGTTCAAACAAATGTGTTGACAACTGAGTACCATTTAAAAGGAAAGGGAGTGGAAATTGATTAGCATTTGAAAGGGTAATTAATTTAATCACCTTTCCTTGCATTTCCTTACTTTTTTTCTATTTAAAATCTACCTTTCTCCTGGTTTTAAGGTAAAAAAAAACCTCTTTCTTTGTACAGTCATAACTAGTTATGCTCAGGTTTGTTAAGTGGGCTACTGCTGCTTTTGAAAAAAATAAATAAATTGTAATTGTACAGAAAGGTATGTCTTATGTCTGTAGTGTTTAGAAGGAAGGCAGGAAAATGCCTCAGTTTCTTTATCCTTCTGCTCCTACTTATTTATTATGAAGTCCCAAGAATGGTAAGAGGCCACACCAACTGATGGGTCTTTCTTTATGGGTCGTTGTACAGAAAAAGAAACGGCGATTTTCAATACTGCTCCACCTGAGCTTCTCCAAAGGGCCTATCAGAAGAGCATGTTTGATTTTTCACAGTCTAACTTAAAACTCCCAACAGATCAAACTAATCTCAGCAGTTACAGTGACAGATCTGCTCCCATTCTACCTACTATAGTGTTCCAAAATAGGAGGAAGGCCCTTGGTATTGCGCTGTCAATAACTCCCAATGCCCCCTTTTTTTTTTCCAAAAAAAAGTGCAGTTTTAATATAAACGTTGATATTTTTGGTCTCCATTAAATGGTTACTACACAAATTAAAAAGTCCTTGTAAACCAGTTGGAAGTTGTCATCATCATCCAAGAGCGAGAGCGAGAGACTTAAAGCAGAAACGAGAGTTACTGAGTGGCTTGACTGTCCGTTTGGTCCTATGAAGAAGAGCCTGTTGCAAGCAGGTGGGAAGAAGTCGGGCTTGAGTGGACCGCTGGGCAGGGAAGGGAACTTCACACCTCATCTCAGAAAGTGGAAATCGGTTCAGAGCTGTAACTATTGATCAACATTTGATCAGATCAGAGAAGCACCCATGGTTTCCCAGATTCAATATTGACCAAAAGCTCTGGTGCAAATCATGACCTTTCTGTTTGGATGAGCAGCAGAACTTTTAAATACTGGACTCGACCAGGTTTGGAACAGGGCAGTGTTATCTAACAGCTCCCCGAAGCAGGAGTGCTAGTTACCCCTTTTTGACCTTCACCGAGCCTGCCTCTCCTGTTTAACTTTTGAGATGACTGTTCTTAGTACAGTCCTGTGAGCAGTTCATCCTAGAAAGAGGCAGTTCTTGGAGCAGAGAGAGAGGGCAGGCCCGTTAGTTTCTCAGTCCTGGAAGACAGCTTGGGCTTGGCTATGTGCATCCCCTGGAGTTTGATTAAGAGGGCTTCCCTTGAGCAGAAGCAAAGAGGATGGCCCACACGTGGTGGACAGGTGAGGAGGAGCTGGATCTACCTTGGCTGAAAACGGCAGCGTCTTCGGTGATCCAGTCGCTTCTTTGGCGGAGAGGCTGATGCACTGAGCAGCAGCCTCTTTGTTTCCTTTAAAGAGAAGTAGAGAGCTTGGGTAAGAAACCTGTTGCAAAGGGTGTTTTTTGCTGTTGCAGTTGAAAGTTGCAGAAAAGACTGGTGCTGGGCCAGCAAGGGAATGATTGGGGGGGGGGGGGGAAACTGCACAATACCTTAATACTGACCTTCAGGGTCACAGCCCCCCCCACGCTCCTCTAACAAGCTTTCTGTGCTAACCGATGTCTCGGAATCGACATTCTCCTCATCAGAACAACGCTGGTCCAATTCGGGGAGCCGGTATGTTATGTCTTCCCTAAAGAAGTGAGAAAAAAAAAAGACAAGGTACAACATTCCATGGGAGGGCTGGAATAATTTCAATGACGGGTAATGAAAAGAGTTGAGTTTTCTGCCTCTCCTTTCAAAGCCTTTTTGATCCATCAAGTCCAATGTTGCCGTTGGAACCAGGGAAGGACGACTATTATTGGGGTGGAATAAAGTCTATTGGTGGGCTTCGTTTGCTATTGAAGGAGGAGAGCAACTCAGGGCAATCTGGGAGAGGCTTTCACACAAGCCTAAAATAGCAATAGCACTTAAAACTTATGTACAGCTGCATAGTGTTTTACAGCCCTCTCTTAAGCGGTTCACAGAGTCAGCCTATTGCCCCCAACAACCTGGCTCCTCATTTTGCCCACCTCGGAAGGATGGAAGGCTGAGTCAACCTGGAGCTGCTGAGAATCGAACTGCCAAACTGCAGGCAGCTGGCAGTCAGCAGAAGTAGCCTGCAGTACTGCACTCTAACCACTGCGCCACTGGGCTCATTTCAAAATAGATTTGAAAGACCTAACAATCCTCCCATGCTTTGCAATGCAGGCTCCATTTTTTTTAAATACTTTGCAAGAACCAATTCTGCTGGAAGACTTAAGCACAGCTCTTCTTGATAGATTCTCAGAGCTGGCAGATGAATTCAGAGACCGTAGCTTCTGTCTTGCAGAGGGTGGGCCTTTACAAGCCATCACTCACTTCTCTTCCTTTATTGACTGTATCCGTTCCATCAACAGCTCCTTCTCCCTGTTGTCTGTTTCCTCCTCTTCGGGCAAAAGTCCAAGTTTAGGTGCGGCACTGCTCACTCCTACGGTGTGGGGACTCTTGCTCTGCAGGACGGAAAGAGAGCTATATCATCCCTTTGGCTAAGGATACAGCAAATCATCAAGCCTGGGTAGAGAGGAGCAATTAAATCCCACAAGTTGATTCTCTTGTGAACTCTGCAATAGATCATGAAGCAGCCTCTGCTCGGGCTGAACAATTTAGCTTTCCAGGCTTGAAAGTATAATTTAACAAGCCAGGAAAATAATGACAAAGTGGGGTAGTTCTGAATACAGGAAGCCTAAGCAGGGGACACCTGCTGATAGTTGTTTTTAGAGCAAGCTGTCCTTAGTACTGAATCCAACTTGCAGGGCTACGATGAATATAAAACAAGGAGAATCAATTTTGAATCCCAATGCAGAAAAGCAGGTACTGTTTCACCAAACTCCCTCCCAAAGGTATAAATTTGAGGCCCGAAATTTAAATTTACTGTGCCTTGGGATATCATAAAAAAAAGGGTTAAGGCTGCTCCCGAGCAGGTGCACAGAAATGTCTTCCTTCGACAAGAGCCAACCACCAGATTCACACACAGAGACACACAAACCTGGGTTAGTGTAAACAGATTCAAAGGGTTAAGCATCCAAGGCCAAAGTTGGATGCAGGGGTATCTTTTTTATTTTTTTCTATGAAGCGTTGGTTAATATCTCTTGCAATCCACTATCCAATCCCCATAATTAATTGGGAAAACAGGACAAATGTGCACAGGTGTAAAACATGCAGAGTTTTAAAGTGAGGGGTTTTGAAGCATTCAGCGTGTGAAGAGCCTTCCCCGATCTTTAGCTGATGCTGGGAGAGGCAGAGTGAGGAAGGGAGCAACGTTCCATGCACTTCAGTGCTTTCACCTACCCGGGCTCCCTCGCGGGGAGAGGAAAAGGCAAGTTTTACTGGCCACAGCTAGAGAAAAGGAGAGAGGAAGGGCACATTCATAGGAGACCAAAACATTTTCTCCAACTCTCCATGGATAAAAAAGACTTCAAAGATTAAAAGAATATACAGTACATGTCAAAGTTAAAAAAAATGTAAAAACGCCGCACGTGTGATTTAAACAACCCTAATACATGTGCAAGATTCGAAAACTAATACGATATTAAACTTATTGGAATTATAAAGCTGGGGTGAGTTTTGAGATTGCTTGAGCCAGTCTTCCGCAATCAAACAGAAGAATTAAACAGCAAGAGCAACCATTTCTACCCAGCAGGGGTTTTGGGATTCTTCGATCAGGAAGTATGATTAGTGTAACCCCACTGCTCAGAATTTCTCCTTAAGAATATACCCAACCCATATAAAATCAACCACTAGACATAATGTTGGATGTATATTTTGTGTATATTTGTAGATATTGTACTCTCAAATTGCAAAGGGAGACGTGGGTACTCTATCTTATCTTCATTTTTAAGTGCTTTGGTTTTATTGTATTGCGAACAGTTGCTGGGGTGCGTCCACAGTTTCGTTGTACTTGTACAATGACAATAAAGTTCTTCTAATTCTAATTGAAACAAAATATAAACATCGGGCTCCCAATGCTTAACAGCATAGCCCATTACCAAAAGCTACTAAAGAGAAGCAACAGGGCTCCACCTGTTTCTTTCTCCTCAAAGGAGACATTTATCATGGTGACCAAAGTGGCTTCAGTCTTTCTAACAGCGTCTGTTTGTTCTTCCAGTAAAGGAGGGCCCACCCTTTCCTGAGATAATTCTGTCCCACTATCAAGAAGCTATCAAATCAGGAAGTTCAGCAAAAACCTGTTTCAATACATCAATTATTTCTATGGTTACCTTCTAGAATAATAGAGACAGGTCTGCTTCTTCTATTGGATACAATACATGAAGACCACCCTGTCTCCTTTTTTTTCTCTCCACCAAATTAAACTTATTAGTTTTTCAACTCCCTCTCACAGGAATGTTTTCCAGACTTCACCATTTTGACTCACACACCCAGAATGTCTTCCAAAATGTATGTGCTGAACTGGACTCTGTGCAAATGGCCTCTGCACCCCAGATGCAGTGGGGACAATCGGGAGACTATAACAGAACTACTTGTGACTGGACACATCCCAACTTTACAATCATTTACTGAATTATATTTACAGATTATATCAGAACTGCTTTAAACAAAGTCATTTTTTTTTCCTTTCCAACTTCCACTCACACAAAAATAAGGCCTTGGGAATTTCGCATGAAGTCACACATTACATATCAGCCTTGCTGAGTGAGATTAATAGAAAAGCCACACTTCTGTTGTGAAATCTCCATCACATTTCATGCCGAGTGCAATAGCAGTGCTTACTTTGTTCTGTCGAAGCAGTGAAAGCCGCCGTAGAGCAATGCTTTCCGCTGCTTCTAGTTGGCAAATTTCATCCATCTTCATGCTGTACTTTCTCAGCTGTTCCTTGATGATCATCTCCACACACCTATGCATAGGTAGGGAAGAGAGAACAAAAGGAGAAATGGAGAAAACAACCACAGATCATTCACGGGCCCTCCCTTGATGGATGGAAGAAGAGAGGATGAACGGATCAGGTGAATGCACGCATGGATAAAGGGGCTGACAGA